GGGAGGGGCCGGAGGGTGGGCGGGCCGGTGCACTGCTTCCCGGGAGGTCCACCTGTCTGGCCAACCGCCTACGTAATCTGTAAAGTCCTCTCTCGTACGTACTAACAGAACATTTTAGAGTACATTTAGAAAGGGGGTCCTGTATGATAGTAAAAAAGGCAGGACTTGAATGGTGTGTTAAACTAGGTATCTGAAGGGGCATATACCAAGATGAATATTCAGTCATTCAAATTTAACTCGCGTTTTGTATTTTCCTGCTCAGTTGATTGATGAGATGCTTTTATGTATGACACGTACGTGAATTGTGCGTAGTAAGAGTCGGAATGAATGTTGAATTTGTTGAGGTTGATTTAGACCACACAGCAGTTCCTAATGATTTTGTAGAATTATGTAGTGAAGGGGGTTTGATTTGTAGTCTTGGAAATTACTTCGGGGCCCAGGCCAGTGCATGGGTTTGCACCATACTTGTATATTGAGTCACAGTGCTGGGAAGGGTGCTCAGGTGGACCCTTGAAAGTGTGTAAATCAGGTGGGTTTCCACTTCCCAGGTACTTTCAATGATTTTATTCTTTTCCACCCGTTTGCTTTAACGTAGGTGAACGCATCCCGGCAAGATATTGAGGATGCCGAAGAAGTAGCTGCTCAGACTGGCGGTGGGACAGATGCCCCAGAAGGACTCTTCAGCATGGTCAGTGCTTCCTAACGAAAGCACATGTGTGCAGGTCTTAATTCCAGGGGGCGGGAGGCAATGGCTCATGGCTCCTCTTCTTCAAGGCTTTAGGTTAAAACAGTAGTTCACAGTTCAGCAAACTTGAAAAATGATTCTTTATTATTTTTTTTTTTTGAGGGAGAGAGAGTGCAAGTTGGGGAGGGGCAGAGAGAGGGAGAGAGAGAATCCAAAGCAGGCTCCACACTCAGTGCAGAGCCTGACATGGGGGCTCAGTCTCACGAACTGTGAGATCATGACCTGAGCCGAGATTAAGAGTTGGACGCTTAACCGACGGAGCCACACAGGCGTCCCAACAGTGATTCTTGAATGAGTAGCTGTTACCGTGTTGCGTACTGCCCAGGAGAGTTCGTTTCTTTCCATGGCTGTGAATTTGGGTGTGGTGAAGTATATTTCATTTTTATTCTTAACTTTTGTTCTTCGTACTTTTTTTTTGTTTTTGCACAGCACGTGTGTTTTCGAGGGAGTGGTAAATAGAAAAGTCCCAGTGTGATTTCTTTATTTTCGAAGTCTGTGCCTTAATGCAGTACCTCTCTGCCTGGGGCAGGGTTCACCGGAGGAGAGCCTGAGCAGGGGTGGGGGGGTGGGAGGGTGGAATTTAGGGACAAAGGGCAGGAGAAGGGACTACAAGGGAGAGTTCCAGCTATAGCATGATGACCCCAGGTCCCAGGAGCTCTGGAGCGGGAATGGCGCCATAGACTTGATTCCAGCTTGAAGGCAGGGAGATGGCCTCCTGTGTGACCTGTTGTCAGCCGGTCATTCTGGACAGGGAGGGCAGGAGGGAGTGCGAGGGTGGTCCTCTGGAGAGGCTGTTGGCCACCAGTGCTCACAGCAGCTGGGGCAGGGGTGCCCTGTTCTGGGAGAGGAGCCCTGGGCACCAGCAGTGCCCAGCACAGTGCGTTCCAGGTGCTCGGGGAAAGCTGCAGTGTTGGCACGGCCTTGGTTTGCGTGGGTCTTCGAGATGCGAGTCAGGTGGGGCTCTGAATCTGCTTCTAGTTTGAGTTCCTTGCTTGAGTGGTTCTGAGTCGTACTTCTGGTGGGGAGCTCCTGCCGAGAGGGGACCTGTGTCTTTGCTTTACCTTTTTGGGGCTCTTGGCTGGTGTGTGACTCTTGATTTTGGGGTCGTGAGTTCGAGCCCCACGTTGAATGTAGCGATTACTTAAATAAATACAACTTAAAAAAGGGAAATGATTATCTCTGAGAACTGTTATTACAGTTTCTAATGTCAGTTTTTCCTTCGTCTTTAAAGGATGAGGACGAAGACCCTGGCGGTGAAACAAAGGCTGACGCACAAAGGCCCGATCGTATGGTGCATCCTGTAGCCGAGCGCCTGGACATCCTGCTGTCTTTGCTTCTGTCCTACATTAAGGACGTCTGCCATGTAGACGGTAACGACGTGCAGTAGTCACAGTAGCTCCTGTGGAACCTGGCAGCGATAGGCATCCTGTAAAAATTAGTGTTTTGAGGAGGACAAAAAGAGGGTTTAGAGAGATTAAGTTACCTGCCAGTGTGACATAGCCTGAAAGTGGTGGGACTGGATTCAGGCTCGGCTGTGTTTCTCTTCGAAGCCGCCTGATCCTTTCAGAGGCAGTCAAGGGTTAGAGTATGGAGTCTGCTCAGTGTTGGGTGGAGATCGGATCACACTCGAGCTGTTGAAGACACCTAAGGGCGTAGTCCATGTTGGCGTGTGGTGCTTAGTGTCACGCGTTAGTTTGGAGACCTTGTGCCGTGTTGGGCCACGTGTCGGTGCTGTAGTGAACCAGTTGGTGCGCTTCTTGCTCTTCTGGAACTTTTCGTTTAGAGGCTTTGCCATCAAAACAGGATTCTTCCATTCATGTGAAGATTCAAGAATGATTCCCAGAATGAATCTGAGTTGACTGTGTTATTTCTTTAATCTTTTGTTGTAAAGGTAATGCAGTTGAGAGAAAATTTGGAAAGGATTAAAGGAAAGGATTTAAAAAGGCAATTTAGTTTTATTTTTTTTAAGTTTTTATTTTTAAAGTTTATTTTGAGAGCGAGACCGTGCACACATGAGTCGGGGATGGGCAGAGCGAGAAAGAGAGAATCCCGAGCAGCCTCCGTGCTGTCAGCATGGAGTGAGATGTGGGGCTCGAACCCACGAACCGTGACATCATGACCTGAGTTGAAATCCAGAGTCAGATGCCCACCTAGATGTCCCCAAAAATAAAACTTAAATGTTTGCATCTGTACTATTCAGAGAACCATTATTAACATGGTTTGTTTTTTTCTGTTAACTTGTGTGTATTCAGGAGTGTGTTTTTTAGTGGATTTGGGGGTCATGCTATACGCATTGTTTCATAATCTGCCCTTTTCACTTGTTGTGCATTGTCTGAGGCCATTCACTGTTCTTCTAGGTTGCTGTTGATCGTATGGATTTAACTGGTATCATTCCACACCCCCCCCACCCCCCCTTTGCCATTATGAATGTGTAATGGACATTCTTGTATATATGTGTCCAGTTACCTGTTGGGTAAGTTCCTAGCAGTAGAATTAGGGGATCAAAGGGCTCCTGTCACATAAATAGAAAATTGCCCTTTAGAAGGGCTTCATATTGGGGCGCCTGCATGGTTCAGTCAGTCTGACTCTTGGTTTTGGCTCAGGTCTTGGTCTCACAGTTCATAAGTTCGAGTCCCGCATTGGGCTCTATGCTGACGGTACGGAACCTGCTTGGGATCCTCTTTCCTCCCCTTTCTGTCCCCTGCCCCCGCTTGCACATGCTCTCTTTCTCTCTCAAAATACGTAAATAGAACATTTAAAAAAAGGGGGCCTTCAAATTTAGGGCATCACAGTAGCGTGTGAGATGAGGTTCTGCTTCATTGTCACTGCTGGATTATTACAGTTAAAAGGAAAATCTGTGCAAAATAAAAATGGCATTTTGTTATAATCGTAGCTTAATGGGTGACGTTCCTTAATGGTATTTTATTTTTAAAAATTTTGGGAAATGAAAGTGGTAGCTTAAAAAAAAGTGTGAAGCTTAAATGGCAAATTTTCTCTCTAGGTAAGGTAGATAACAACAAAACAAAGGATTTATATCGAGACCTGATAACCATCTTTGACAAACTCCTGTTGCCCACTCACGCCTCCTGCCATGTACAGTTTTTCATGTTTTACCTCTGCAGCTTTAAATTGGTGAGTACTGGGGCACCATTAGCTCAGCTTAGTTTATTCTTGCCCATGATTTCCCCTTAAAAACTGGGGTGGAGGGGTAGGGAGGAGAGACACGAAGTGTTTCTTTTCCTTGAGCTCACTTTACCAGTGCCCTTCATAAAATAGCTTGTTCTTTTTTAACATGTGGAAAGAGCTGGAAAGAACAGAGGGCATTGCTGGCTGCTGCCAGCCAGCACCAGCCGGCTCAGCTCTGCCAAGTGCTCTGAAAGGGCCATTCTGCATTTGCTCCACTAGGCGGTGTCCTTCCCCTTAATTGGAGCCTCTGCTATTAAAATCCTCTGGGATATTTAACTGTTGTGTTTTCTCAGTTGATCCTAACTAGCCCCAAACAACTTCTAAACCCAGAGTTTTAAATCTTCAGGCTTTGGCTTTTTGTTTTGGAAAAAAATGAAAATACAGAAGATTCTTTCCTTACAATTCTTTTGTAGCTTCCTAGAACAGTCAGGAGAGTACTGGGCATGGGTAAGAAGGTTAAATTCATTTTGCCCCAAAGTATGTGTTAATAACTTTTGAAAAGAGCTATTTGGGGGGTGTCTGGGTGGCTCAGTCAGTTAAACGTCTGACCTTTGATTTTGGCTCAGGCCATGATCTCATGGTTCATGAGTCCAAGCCCCATGTCGGTCTCCGCGCCGTCAGGGTGGAGCTTCAGATTCTCTCTGTCTGCCTCACCCTCGTGCATGTGTGCGCACTCGCGCGCGCTCTCTCTCGCTCTCTCTCTCTCTCTCTCCCTCCCTCTCCCTCCCTCTCCCTCTCTCCCTCCCTCCCTCTCCCCCTCTCCCCCTCTAAATAAATAAATAAATAAGTAAATATTTAAATATAGAAAAGAGCTGTTTGGGAGAAGTTGGTGATTGTGTCCTTTGTTAAAAAGAAGCTTAATTAGTCTTTTTTCTGTGATTAGCATAATCAGTCAAACACTGAACTTTGATCTGTGTTTCTGTTTCTGGCTAAGTTCATTATGTTCAGTCAGAGACTGGGAGAATACTTTACACTCTGGAACGTACTGCCACACGGCTCCCACATGAGTGGGGGTTATTGCTGGTTTCTGTTTCTGGCTAACCATCCGAGTCACTTGTGGAGCTTTTAGAACAGGTGGACTCCAGAGCCCTGTCACTGAAACTGTGAAGTGTGGAGAGTTGAGTTTGATGTTCAGCACCTTTTGGGATCTTGTTTAATGCTGGGGAACATTGTTTTTAATAGTATTATCTCCAAGTATTGTACAAATATGAATGATGATAACTGCATATATTATTTAACTGGCAGTGTGAGATACTAGCACTTTCTTCTACTGGTGAGTTAAAAATCTTAGGATTCCAATAGCCAGAATTTCTTAAACATCAAAAAAGTTTAGAGCAATACCTTCTATTTTTATAGGGATTTGCAGAAGCATTTTTGGAGCATCTCTGGAAAAAATTGCAGGATCCAAATAATCCTGCCATCATCAGGCAAGCTGCTGGAAATTATATTGGAAGCTTTTTGGCAAGAGCTAAATTTATTCCTCTTATGTAAGTAACCTAATTTTCAAGTGTTTTTTCATGCCATGCTTTAAAAAGATTATAACATTGTCTTAAATCAGAGAAACCCCTGCCTTTTTTTTTTTTTTTCTTCTGGTCTGACTTTCAAGTGAGGAAATCTGTTCCTCCACACTATGCAAGATGTTTACATTTCCAAAAGGCAATTTCAGAATAAAATGTCTCCTTTAGATACAAAACCTCATATGGAAAGCTTTTGTCATTTGTTTTGCGTGGTTACACTTGAACACGAAGATCCATCTGTCTTCATGAATATTGTACAGTGTTGTATACTGTTTTAATTCTTTTTATAGGTTTGTCATTTTTCATTTGCATTCTGAATCAATTGTATCTGTTAAAGCTGAAGAAAAAAGTCTTTTAAAGGTAATAGAAATATCTATTTAGGAGGCCAGCTCTAGGCCTGCTTCTTCCAGTGATCCATGAAGATGTCTTTGGGCGAGGATGCTATTAAAAAAACGCATCTCCCAAAACTAAAAGCCATCTGTCCCTCTGTCCTAAATTGTAGGCCATAGAACTTTATCAGAACCTTGTAAGGAGAACCCTGTAGGGAATGGTGGAGTCAGCCCGACCATCTTTCCCTTGTAAGACGTTGGTAAACGTGGCTTATTCCTCGGCCATACTGTCCTGAGAGGGCAGGTGGCCGTCAGAGAAGTCCTTCGGAGTTGATGAGGAGAAACGGTTGTCCATCCCTTGGGGCCTCAGGCATCCTTAGGGGCCTGCCTCTCATTCCTCGAAGGTCCGTGCACTCTGCCTTGTAATTGAAAAGCTGCCTTCCTGCTCGCCCGTCCTTTCCTTCCCCTCTGTGCCCTTGGGGAACAGATCAAGAGGCCTATAGATTGACTTCTCTTAGTTTGTGGTGAGAGCCAGTTGTGTGCTGTTTTGTAAGTCACTCGTGTGTTTTTATGTCACTCTTGTGTTTCTATGAAACAAGTGAAGTTGACTCGAATTTTTCTTTTCTCTAGTACTGTAAAATCATGCCTAGATCTTTTGGTTAACTGGCTGCACATGTACCTTAATAACCAGGATTCGGGAACAAAGGCCTTTTGTGATGTTGCTCTCCATGGACCATTTTATTCAGCCTGCCAAGCTGTGTTCTACACTTTTGTTTTTAGACACAAGCAGCTTTTAAGTGGAAACCTCAAAGAAGGTCAGTGATGTGGGATTGATGGATGTGAACTGGCTTTTCCTTGACTGCTAGTCGCCCTTTAGGATGGAGGGTTTGATGAAAACAGTGGAGTCAGAATGCACTCAGACTTGTGCCCATAATTTCAAGCAGCCTTTAGGGGCCCCTAAAGCCCTTTAAGCGCCCTCCTTAACAGTGGATGGGTTTGCGTGTGCACCCATGTTTTTAGAGTGATTGTGACCCACCAAGGGGCTCTTCTTCAGAGGTGATGCCTGGAGCAGTGCTTCCTGCCTGTCACTTTGATTGGCAGCGAAGGGCGGGCGTCCCGGGGGGACCTAGGCACATGCAGGATATTGTTTGGCAGGGTTAGAAGTGAAAACCAGATGAGTAGGAATCTGAAGCTTGTGGTCCTAACGGTTATGCTGCTTTATCTAAGGACTTCAGCCTTAATCTTCCAGGTTTCACTCTTGCTAATTTCTCAGAGTTGTGCAGAGTTTAAATCTGCCCGATGAAGCTTGTATATTAGGTTAGTGTAACAAGAACAACGCCAGTGAAGTGAGTTTATTTATGTATTTATTTATTTAAAAAAATTTTTTTTTTTAACGTTTATTTATTTTTGAGACAGAGAGAGACAGAGCATGAACGGGGGAGGGTCAGAGAGAGAGGGAGACACAGAATCTGAAACAGGCTCCAGGCTCTGAGCGGTCAGCACAGAACCCGATGCGGGGCTCGAACTCACGGAGTGTGAGATCGTGACCTGAGCCGAAGTCGGCCGCCCAACCGACTGAGCCACCCAGGCGCCCCCAGTGAAGTGAGTTTAAATGTGTTTGTTTATTTGTGTGAAAAATTCAAATGGATGAATAGGCCGTTTTCTCTAAACCAGATTTTCTCAATCTCTGACATTTGGGGCTGGATAACCCTTTGCTGTAGGGGCTACATCCTTTGCACTGTAGGAAGCTTAGCATCCCCTCCTTGCTCTGTTGTGGCAGCTAAAACCCTCCAGAACCTGCCACGTGTCCTCTTGGGGGCATAGCTGCTTTGAGTTGAGAACCACAGCTCTAAACGGACACTTGTGTGTGTTGCATTGTATGGATTTACTCATATCCTGTCACTTTTGAAAAGATGTGGGGGTTAAAATTAGTTGTATAAACCAGGAGTAGGATAAGGGTTTTAAGTATTGTCTTTTTTTTTTTTTTTTTTTTTTTTTTTTTTTTTTTTTTTTTTATGTATAAATAAATGGTAAGAGTCTTGGTAAAGAGGATGTATTTCTTGTAAGCCATGACATTATCCCATTTTTAGTCATTTTTATCAAAATACACATCACAGATGGGGAGAGCCTTACTGGCTCAGCTGGAAGAACATGCAACTCTTGATCTCAGGGTCGTGAATTTGAGTCCTGTGCTGGGTGTAGATGTCATTTAAATAAAGAAACCTTAAAAACAAACCATCCAAGAATCTCCTAAAAATATATACTTAAGTACAAGTGGGTTTGCTTGCCTTTTGAAATCAGTATGGTGTCTTTCTCTTACTGACATAGGAGAGAATTAATAGTTCCTAGTTCCCAGAGGGCAGTTTCTCATTCTTACTCTACCTCCCTGGCTTCCTTGTAAAAAAAAACCCAGTGCAGCACCTGAAGTACGAGCAGCTGTCCCCCCTTGGGTGGGACGCTCCACCGCACTGATGCTTTCAGCCGCGCGGGTCCTGCTGTCCGTTGGCTGTTGTCAGATCGGCATGTGTGTCTGTCTGGGGATGGCAGGAAGGGGGAGTTTCAGGTGGTTCGGTCCTGAACCTCTCAGGACGGAGCCTCCTTTTGTTACCTCCAGTTTGTAGCAATTTCATGATTAACTGAAATCAGATCACAGTGTTTTTTTCTCTGTAAACTCAACGTGTGCTGAGCTTATGCGTATCTGAATCCCAAATTGTCATGTAAGTTAATAGCCCACTAGGGATGTATGATTACCTCCTGGGTTTTTGAAAGAATACCCTGTTTTCTTTAGAAGAGGTGACCTAGTCCTAAGCAAGCGTGGTGACCTTCTCTTAGGCTCTTTGTTGTATGACCATATGGACCTGTATTTAAAGCATTTCTGCAAGTAGCTCTGTGAAAAATTAAAAAAAAATTTTTTTTTAATGTTTATTTATTTTTGAGGGAGCAAGACAGAGCACGAGTGTGGAAGGGACAGAGAGAGAGAGGGAGGCACAGAATCTGAAACAGCTCTGCTGAGCTGTCAGCAGAGACCCCGATGCGAGGCTTGAACTCGGAAACGGCGAGATCATGACCTGAGCTGAAGTCGGTTGCTTAACCGACTGATCCACCCAGATGCCCCTCGTGAGAAGTTTTTTTAAAGTGTGAAATCTGTGCTGCTTAAAGATACTTGGGCTGTTATGTTTGTACTTTTTAAAAATGTTTTGTTTTTTAATCAAAGGTTTGACATACCTTCAGAGTCTAAATTTTGAACGTATAGTGATGAGTCAGCTAAATCCCCTGAAGATTTGTCTGCCTTCGGTAGTTAACTTTTTTGCTGCAATCACAAGGTAAGTTAATACTTTATTGGTGGGAATTATTTAAAAACAACTTTATATTAATACTTTAAAGTTCCATTAAGTTTCTGTGAAATTATTCAGTCAAATTAATGACCATAAAACACGTAAAAGCCAGTAATGCAGTACTTACAGGGAACGCTGCAGTTAGGATTTTGTTCTTACTTTGGTGGTAATGGAAATTGCTCCTGCTTTTGTTCAAAGACTGTAACTCAGCAGAAGCCTCGGCACTTTGAAACGAGTGAGGCAGCCAGTAAGCTGAGAGTTACAGACCAAAGATGTTTATTAGAGTAAGGAAAATAGACTGGACGCGAGAGGGATGTGCCACAGTAGGAGGCGGGCTGGTGCAGGACTGTTCTGTCGGGCCTGGGGCTCCGGCTCGCGCACGCTCGGAAGCCCTTCACATGGAGCTCGCTGCGTCCTCACAGTCCCGGGACTGATGTGGTAAGGCCCTGTTTAAGAACAGGGAGGTGGAGGCCCGGAGAGCGGGAATGACCCGTGAGACACAGTGGCTTGACTGTGTCAGAGCCAACATTCGAGTGCGGGCAGCCTGGCCCTCCCCGAGTTAGTCTGCTTGGCGCACACAGCGAGTTGGCGACGGGATACTCAGGGTAGGGTCATAGCTTAAAATCTTCAACGCACAAGAGTCTGTTCTATTAGACAAAGATTCCATCCCTTGTTCCCCTTTAGACTGCTTGCTGCTCTTACTCGGTAACCTTAATTTTCATTTGCTGGCCATCAAGTTCAAGGTACCGTGTCTCTCCTGAGATCTCAGAAATGGTAACAGAGTCAGGGAAAGGAATAAACAACAAGCAAGCGCATTCGGCAGGTGAAGGGTCCCAGCACACTGCAGGAAGATGGGAAGCAGCAGACTTGAGTGAAGCGGGGCAGGTGGCCGAGAACGTTCCTGGGCTGGGACTAGAGGGCATGGGTTGGCAAGTGGACTGTCCAGCAGGCTGTCGGCGTGGGGTGGGGCGGCAGGCTTGCTCGGGGTGAGATGTGAGGTCGAGAGCTAAGAGCAAGAGGTGGAATTCTTGTGTCGTTCTGTGCCCGTTGCTTTCGCTTAGTGGTTTTGAGATACACATAGACCCGTACAACTGCATTTGGACTTTAATTGCTGTGTCATGTTCCATTAATTTTTTTTTAGTTGATCCTTTGTTGGGGTTTAAGTTGTTAGTTTTTTCAGAATTGGGAACAGCAGCTTAGGGGCGACGTTGTAGGTAAACCAGTACAGTTCTCGTGGCTTCAGTAGCCAGGTCTCTCCCTCAGCAGCCGCTATCCTGTCCGTAAATCCTGAACCCCTTTATTCTCTTACAAACGGCAAAAAGAGACCACTTCTGTAATTCTGCAGACTCTAAGAGTCCCACCGCGAACACATTCATGTTTAGTGAGTCATGCCTATTAATAATCTCAGCCCGCTCTATCGTTCTCAAGGTGATAGCCACACTTTTCTTTCTCCTTATTATTAACACGCTTCTAAATAGTAGACCCGGAAAGCTGTACCCTAAAAGCATTGCTTTCTGTTTTGTGTTGTCTTTTCTTGCACTTAATACGTTTGACAGTATCCGCGTGGTTAGAACAGGTGTCGCACACAACAGGCACGTCCGTGCAGTCATTCCACCATCCACCGTGTTAACGCCGCCCGTCTGTGTTTTGGTTTTGTGGTTCTGCAGTAAATACCAGCTGGTCTTCTGCTACACGATCATTGAGAGGAACAATCGCCAGATGCTCCCAGTTATTAGAAGTACAGCCGGAGGGGACTCCGTGCGAACCTGCACGAACCCACTCGACACCTTCTTCCCCTTCGATCCTTGTGTGCTTAAGAGGTGGGTGCTCTTAGTCCCCCTGTCGGGTGGTGAGTTTATGTGTGGTGTCTATTGGCTTTTCCCACGAGTGGGGTTTCCTGGTCATCGAGTGGCCATTCGTGTCTGTGTGTCGGCAACTCATGGTCTCCAGGCACGTGTTTCACGGACCCCGAGTAGGGAATACCCGTTAGACGCTGCGGCCTGCTCTGAGCACACTGGGCGGGGCCGATCTTTAGCTCAGGAAGAACCCTGGATTGACACCAAAGGTCTTGTGATTTATTTTTTGTTTTTCTTTAAACCTGTTGGTTTAAACATAAAAGGGGATGGGGATAGAAGAGCCTGGATGGGGAGGATGCTGCCCTTTCGTGGTTCATAATGTTCTGCCTAGCGACTTGTTCTTTCCTCTGGAGACCACATTCCACGCTGTTGGAAAGGTCATCAACAGCCATGTAATTTATCTGGATGGGTAATTCAGAAAACCCACCGAGCCAGTCTTAACTTTGCACTTGTATAAGGAAGGAGGACTTTCGCTTACGGTACAATTTCTAACTAGCAACACGATTCAGGGTCATCTGGTCCCTCGAGTCTTGGTTGACTGAAAACCAGGTGGGTCTTTTTTCCCAGACTCATTTTTAGTAGATTTACTGTAGGGATATACAAAAAATGAAGTTTCAGAGGAATATCACTTTGTTTTCATTTGGACATATTCTAACTCATTGTCAGGCTTTGCATAGTTGAGGAATAATTTCACTTGACGATAAAAAGATGAGACATTAGTTTAATACTCCATCTGAGTGGGGGAAGTCTTACCAAGAAGGAGCCACATCATTTACAGTACTGACATGCAGGATTTTGACACAGCGATTATTTGAACCACAGTTTTTATTTTGGGTAGTGGATCCTGTGAGAGAAGGGCTCTAGACATGTCTGACTGTCACAGTAGCATTGAACTTGATTTTGAGATGTGATCTCTGTCGACAGGTCGAAGAAATTCATTGATCCTATTTATCAGATCTGGGAAAACATGAGTGCAGAGGAGCTTCAAGAGTTTACGAAACCTGTCAGAAAGGTACGCTTGTGACTTGGCACCCCGGCTGGGAGTGTCCTTGGTGGACATGGATGACAGTCACGTAGTAATTAGCAGTGTCACACTTAAAGACTGCATTTTGTTCCTTTTGCTTTTACAAAATTCCAAGCTCACGGTATGTTCTTATGAAAAGGGTTTTTGTTTTTTTGATGAATTGTTTAAACTAGATACTTCGCAGGGTACCTGGGTGGCTCAGCCAATTAAGTGTCCAGCTTTTGTTTGTTTGTTTGTTTATTTTGAGAGAAAGACAGGGCACACACAAGTGGGGAAGAGGCACAGAGAGAGGAGAGAGAGAATCCCAAGCAGGTTCCACGCTGTCAGCAGATCCTGACACGGGGCTCGAGCTCACAAACTGTGAGATCGTGACCTGAGCCGAAGCCAAGAGTCTGACGCTTAACCAACAGAGAGTCACCAGGTGCCCCAAGCGTCTGACTTCTTGAATTTGGCTCCGGTCATGATCTCAGGGTTGTGAGATTGAGCCCTACATTGGGTTCTGCACTACAGCACGAAGCCTGCTTGGAATTCTCTCTCCACCTCCCCCCTCTGCTCTTCCCCCGCTCACGTGTTGTTTTCCTCTCTCTCAAAAATAAACAAAATTAAAAAAACAGAACCAAAAAACTAGATACTTTGTAAGCTGACTTTGGGAAGTGAAGGTTAATTAAAAGTCAGCTCAACATATTACAATTTTTTTTTATTATTTATTTTTATTTTTAAGTTTATCCTGAGAGAGGGAGAGAGACTACAAAGAGTGGAGGGAGACGGGGGGGGGGGGGGAGAGAATTCCAAGCAGGCTCCGTACTGCCGGCACAGAGCCCAATGTGGGCTTGAACCCACAAACCTTGAGATCATGACCTGAGCCGAAGCCAGGAGTTGGATGCTGAACCAACTGAGCCACCCAGGCGCCCCTTAACAAATTAGGATCTTTATTACATGGTCATTACCACCAAATAACAATCTCAGATTTACTTATGTCTCTTTTTTCATAAGTAATCATTGGAAAACTCTTTTTTCCTTTATATTTTGCTTTGGGGGTGGTCATTAATTCACTCATTTACACTGTTAGATACAAGGGGGATGACACTGAGTGAGAAAGACAGGTCATTGCCGTCTGCCCTCATTGAGCTTAAAATCTGTTTAAAAAATTGGACTTTAAACAAGTAGTCCCATGTGATCAGCAGTTGTGTGGGCAGTTGGGGATGAAGTGTGCCTCGGAGTAAATTTTCAAAATTAAGACATTCTTGGGGCACCTGGGTGGCTCAGTTGGCTAAGTGTCTGGCTCTTGATCTCAGCTCGGGTCATGATCTTGGGGTTGTGGGGTCAAGCCCCGTGTTGGGCCCCATGCCGGGCAGGCGTGAAGCCTACTTAAAAAAAAAAACAAAAAACTATTTCCTCTACCTTCATCCTTCCAGAAGCGGCACATTCCTGAAAGACATTCTCGAAAGCTTTGCACACCGCCACTGGTGGTCTGACCGGTAATCTTTTGTCCTTGTACAGCAGGTGGTGGAGGATGAAGATGATGACTTTTTGAAAGGTGAAGTTGGCGTGGCCCCGAGCTCCTTTGACCCGCATTTCCGAAGTCCCTCAAGCAGCGTGGGCTCCCCTCCTGTGTTCTACCTGCCAGACCAGTCCCCTGTGACCACGAGGATTTGTGATTGAGACTGAGACCAGCGTCTCTCCCCACGGTGCCCTTCGGTACCAGGGATCATCCTGTTTGAACCAGAGCGAGTATCTGCCTCAGGCATCTTACTTGCAAGGTAGATGTACTCTGGTGTCTGAACAGATGTGCTGTTTTGGTTTTTTTTTTCCTTTTTGTTTTTTGCTCCTGTGCAAACAAAAGAAAAGACGGAGTATCATGTGCAATATTTTAGAAAAGAGTTGATGATCAGTGTTGAAGGCTTGACTTGTGTGGTGGGTGTATATTTTATTTCTGTTATAGCTTTCTGGCATCGTTGTGAAATTTCTGATCTGGGCAGTGGCCTGTTTTAGCGGGATGGCACATAGGTTTGGTCTGAGCCATAATCACAGGACTTTGTTGATCCAGTTTATTTTCAGTGAAAAAGATCCTCTAGGAGACTATTCCACATCTTTAAAATGATTTTACTTTGAGTACAGTGTTGACCCTCAGCTGGAACTGTATTTGTGTGTTGGGATTTCACTGGGATGCGGAGGGGGCGGGAGGAAAGTGGGAAGGTGGCCCGAGCCGGTCCCTGACGCTAGAAGCCGGAGCTGGCACTGAAGGTCTCCAGGGATTGTCAGAGGCCGAGGAAGTCCCCGAGGAAAGACATGCAGGATTTAGGGAAGCGGAAGCAGACAAGTCATACGCTCGTGAGTGGAAGAATGGAGTTAAAAGAACAACAGAGTTCCGGGTAAATGAAATTCCCATACACTGAGAGTGGAGTTGGACTTTTATAAAACACAGCACATGATTTTACCGTGAGGCTCCCAGGAGGGTGGTTAGGACTGGGAGTGCTTGCTTGTAGTGGAATGTTACTTGTTTTTTTTTTGTTTGTTTGTTTGTTTGTTTGTTTTTAACTAGAATCAGTTTGGTCATTTTGAGAGTTTCTTTGTGCTGATGGAGCAGGGGAGAGGAGCCTGGGTTCTTTGGTGGAATGGTTTTGCTAGCGACAACAGCCAAGGTTATAGCTGCAGCCTCCGTTTGCCAGCTGATGTATCATGGAGTTCAGCTCGGTGAAATCCTCCTTGGGGGAGACTCTTTTTGTACTTTTATAACTAAACACTGACAGAGAGGAGTCTAATAAACACCCTCACTTCGTAGCACGTGTGTGTGAGCGCACGGCTGGGCTCATTCTGTGGCTCATGCGTATTTTAGCTTCATTCCTTGTGTGTATACTTTTGTGTTACTTGTGAAAATGGACATCTCTAAACATATTTATTTTTTGCCACTTTTCCTATTATTTAAAAGTAAGCAATATTTTCTCGATCGCAAATATTTTCTAATGAAATACTTTCTCTTTCCTAGGGCTTTGTATGCTCTTGTATAATTATGATGGTGATGTAGAGTAAATACGCTTTTGGAAAACAAATTTTTATTGGTTTAAAAAGTTTTGGATATTGGTGATTTTCTTTTGGTGACTTGGTGGACAGTCATCGGAGAACCTTTAGGTTCTCTGGTTTTTTAACTGCTGGCTAAAGGGGGGGGTGGGTGGGATTTTTGTGACCTGGATGAAACGGGTCCATGAAATGTGTCCATAGAAATTAACGGTAAGTGGAGTGGGCCTTTGTGGGTTGAGAAGTTTTAGTGTAGAAGGGTATCTTTACAAGTAAGTCCGCTTAATATCAGAAGAGTTTGAGGAAAAAAAACATTGTGAACATAGAACAGTGATATGGTTAATCTGGATGTTTTGTTCTTATACCAGTAATGGAGTAAAGGGAGGTACCCCAATAAAGAGGCTTCTCAAACGGATGTTTTGATTTCTTTGGTTTGTACTGGCGAACATGAAAGCTCTGTCAGGAAACTGCAGCTAACACATCACACGGTTTTTAAAGAGGCGGGAATACTGCCAGAGCGGTACAGGGGACAGCTGGGGAGTAAGGGACACGCTGGTAATGAGAAGGACTGGCTAAGGTGTCAGTGACTCCGTGAGCACGCCTAGCCACGAGGGCCGCTGCGGCTTGACCTGGTTCCGGGAAAACAAACGCTTCAAAAAATGCACGCACTTTGGAAGGAACATCGTGGGGAAAAAATTGGCAAGTTTCTTCGGGAATTATATAAAAAAAGAGTTTTCTAATCCTCTTACTATTGAAAAGCGGGCTTTTATTTGGGTAGGAGTTCCAGGGCCCATCCTGTTTGTCTGCAATGGGTGGGTCTTCCTTAATGAGAAGTGGCTAATTTATACAGGTGAGAAAGGACCAGGGACTTCTAAAGTGTCACGGGGGTCAGACTTGGCTTCTCGAACTAGCTGTGTGACCTTGAGCAAGTTACCTAGGCTCTCTGGGAGCTCCACGTTGAGCTGTAAAGTGGAAATGACCACCACCTCCTTGAGGGCTGGGAGGATTCAGTGAAAACGCAGGGAGAGGCAGTAGCTGTTTGGCTACCTTGGGAGAAAGTAGGCAGGAAGCCCTTTCACGGGAGGGTCTTTTCAAGGCAAAGACAACTTTCACTTCATCCACATTGATTGCCTCCTTGGTACCCGCTAAAGAGGCCTCACCTGGAGAGGTACGGACAGCGTTTGCCCCCTGCCAGGTGTGGCTTATTATGGTGGCTTTTAATTCTTGGTCCCAGAATCCCCTTGCGATGCCTTCGCAACAGTTCTTGTTCTGTGAGGTGGCTCTTCGCTTCACCACTAGTTTTGTAAAACTGCGTTTTGGTTAAGGTATGGTGGAGTCCGGTGTATTTAAGTGATATTTCCAAATCTCGGGATAGAGAGCCCCTAGGTCACGAGCCTTGCGCCGGGGTACCTGCCCTTAGTAGGGACCGGACGGTACCTCGTCGATGTTTACTCCCCGGACTCTTGGCCCATCAATGAGCGCCTGCTGTACGCCGAGCAGCAAGTGTTACTGATGATTTCTAAATCATCAGTGGGGCTCGGTTTCAGACGGCTTACGTTTATTCACTGAACACAATCCTATGGAGCAGCAGCACAGCAGGTTCCCCAGCTCGGATTAACGTGCTCAAGGTCACAATGAGGAGTAGTAGAGCCGTGATCTTGAATGGAGGCAGTCAGACCCCAGAGCCCGTTCTTGGGCCGGGACGGTTGGCCGATAATGTGAACTAAGACTGAGCCGGGGGCACCCGGCGAAGGCTCTCTTCCACAGCCCAGCTCCTCCCCTGGCTTTGACGCCCACGCTTTCGGGACTACATTTCCCAGCGCCCCCTGCGGAGGGTGGGGGGGGGCGGGACGAGGGCCGGTCTCCCGCGTTTGGACTACATCTCCCATAGGGCCTTGCGGCCCCCCCTCCCGATTTCCTGAACCGCGTGGACCTGCACCGCCCCCGTGGGACTTCACTTCCCGGCGGCGCCCGCGGGGGGGGGCGGGG